AAGATGACGAACGGCTCCGGTCGACCCAGCACGTCAACAAACGATGAAAATGTGAAAGAAGTGGAAAAAAATGGTTATGAATGATCGCCGAATCACAATTAGAGAAGTTGCTGATGAAGTTGGCATATCAATTGGCTCATGTCATAACATTTTTTCAAATGTTTTGGGCATGAAACGAGTGGCAGCAAAATTCATTCCAAAATTCCTCACTCGTCGTTGCTTGTTCGTAATTTTTTGGCAAAAACAATACCGTAGTCATGCCCCAACCTCCATATTCACCAGATATGGCTCCGTGTGACTTTTTCCTATTCCCAAAGTTGAAGAGACCCATGAAAGGACGGCGGTTTTCCTCGATTGAAGAAATAAAGGCCGAATCGCTGAGAGTGCTCAAGGACATATCAAAAAGTGAATATCAAGGGGTGCTTCGAAAATTGGAAAAAACGCTGGCATAAGTGTATTATATCTGGGGGGGGATTACTTCGAAGGGGACCACATTAATGTAGACGAATAAATAATATTTTTTGAAAAAACGAAAATTCCGGGTACTTTTTGAACAGACCTCGTATTTGCTTAAATCTTATCAAGATCATGTTTCTTGACAGATGTCCCGAAGATGGAACGTACCTAGTTCCGAAACGTCGACAGTAAATAAATAAAAGAATATATATATAGGATCTTTAACAATTATATAATTTATTATTATTATTATATCTTACTATGATTTGCTTGTTCAATTGTGTCAAGATTCTAAATGTTTTCTTCTTGTTTCAGCTTGTGTGATTAAATTCACATCCTCTAGATTTAGTAAATTGTAAGTAACATTTTTGTTTTGAAAAAAAATCTCAAGATCGCAACAGCAAATCGAACAAATTCAAACAAGATCCGCAACATCGCACTCAGCACGCATTGAAGACATCTGAGGATTTTCATTTCATATAGAAACCCATTTGGACTTCCCAATAAATTTTCTCAACTTTCCTTTAGCCAAAAATCTACTAAGCATATATATTTATGAAGTTAACATCGTGCAAAGAAAATCAAATTCAAAACTGCAACCATCTATTTAGAGTTACCTGTGTAATTGTGTATTTAGTGATTTTGTATGTATATAAATCTAGTTAGAAGAAAAGTCAATGTCAGTACAAAACGTAAACTGGACAAATTCTGATGTGAACCAAATTTGAAACAGAAAACAAATTTTCACCAAGTGTTAGCGATGTGATCCAAGTGCCCATCGTGTGTGTCATGATCTTAAGTACTGTTGGACAGTCCAAAAATAAAAAAAAAACTGATGTCTTTGATGTGACGATCGTATCAATGTGATCTTTTCCCAGTGTTATAGAAATTTGTGAAATTTTCTTATTTAACCTTTCTGTGATATATGCTTCTGCACTTATATTTAAATACCAAGCCCTCAAGAGAAACCGACAAGCCTTTGTATTTTATATATGTACATAGATAAACGTGTTTGAAAAGAATAGTAAAGAAATTTTTAGACGGTCCTGAACAGAACAAAATAGTCATTGTTGACAATGTCTAATAATCCTCAGTGGAAGAGTTTCCAGCCGTCAAGCCTGACATCCGATCCTGCTATCTTGGATTTTAAATCTTACAGTAACATTACAGCACCCGGACATAATTCCACACCTAAATCTTATCGGAATGGTGAGTCATAATTAACTTTATTTATTTATTCGAATTCTCATGATTTGTTCTTATTCTTACATTCACAAAATGAATTTTGAGCTTCAAAACTTTACACTTATTGAAATGATTACCATACCAAAATATGTTCAAAATACATTTTTGTAATATATTAGAGTATGGAGTTTATGCATATTTCCTCAAAGAACATGAATAATTACAATATGAATGATTTGGTCAAATGTTATGAATCTTCTGCATATAAAAGATTAAGATTAAAAAATATAATACTGATCTGATCAGCACAACTGGAGATAATTAATTTAATGCAGACGATGGTCAAATCATCAATTGTCTGAGATGTACAAAATTTATGTTATGATTCAAATTAAAAAATTCAGATGTAAATATTTTCATTAAAAAATTTATTCAGCAAAATCTGGAAAAAAAATCAGGTTATTCTAAAATGTGTGGTTGGTGTGCAGTTTGTAAAAGAATAACACTTATCAGGAAGTTTTGGTCTTAAAGCAAAAGTCTTCCCCTTGTCTGACATTCCACATTTTGTAATAAAGTGATACCCCGACATACGAGTTTTATTTGCTCCACGCTAGTATATCGAATCGCTCGTTTTTCAAAGAATTTTTTTATCTAAATACATTGAAATGCCATTAATTCGTTCCAAAAATAAATTTACTATTTATTAACTTAATTAACTTCCCGTAGGGTAAGTTATTGTAATCGTCCAAAAATCGAAATTGAACACTTTGACATACCTCAGAAAAATTGATGTATGTGTGTGTGTGTGTGCGCGGATACAAATTTTCTTCGACGATTTCGCGAACACGGATCAACCGATTTGAATAATTCAAAAGACGTTCGATTCCTACTGATAAGGAGACCTGCTGATTAGTTTTTAGCAATAGGTCTAGCCGTTTCGGAGATACCGGGCAAAAAGTGCTTAAAATGGTATTTAGATTTTGAGATAACGGAACGTCCGATTTAATTAATTCGAAAAACATTTTACTTGTATTGACGAAATAAAGAATTGATGAAGTTTTTGGTAAGGCAGGTCCAGTGTATCCGGAGATCCAATGCAAAAAGTTAAAAATAATGTTTT